TGGTATAGTCCAAGGAAAGGGATGTTAGAACTTGTAATGTCCCCAGCTTCTGTGCATGGTAAGTATGACGACTAATCATCTTCAAATATTGGTTTCTCTGTTGACCAAGCACGCCTGCCGTTAAGTCGTGCTTCCGTGGTCACAGACTACTTTACAAGGGCCTCAAAGGGGGAGTTCAGTTCAGTTACTTGCAAACGGTGTGATCTGGCAACAGGCAAGGGTCTGCCTTCTCAACACAAGATTAGGTGAATCTGACTTGGCATGAAGCCCACAAACATGTTGACATGATCATCATCACTACATAATTTATCTCCGATGACACCAAGACCACCTAGTTCAATCCAAAGAAAACATTGATGGGAAACTCTTTTACACAGTGGCAACTATGAACCCTTCTTAAGTCCAAGTCCTTGGCTAGTGCGAAGATGACAGTAAAAGAAATGCTGAAATCATCACAATAAAGGAGGTACAGGGCTTTCCCAGAAATAATTGTGTAAACAAAAGACACTGCCATCTGAGTCACAATGGTTTTATGCTAAGATGCACATTGGTGATCGGCCTGCTCAGACATGGAATCTTGAATGCTCCATAAAAGCCCTTTATTGACTTCATAATTAATGTGGGTGAAAGAACTAAAATGAACCATAGAAACACAATATGGCAGCAACAGCTTTTAATTTTCTAAGCGCGGAAACTTCAAGCAAATGGTAATACATGAAGTACCAAGGTTGAAATATAATGATGACCAGCTTGATTACAACATGTAACTTTTATATATCTTGTCATGTTGCCTCGTCAACTACTACAAATTGCTTCTACATCATGGAATAAGTGGATTCAGATATGCCAGATAAATAGGAGATTCACTTTGTAAGAAGCTGTGTTCTGGGTCAAATGACAAACATATAAGATGAACCCTAAACGTCAACATCATTTAGTGACACTGACATGTCTGTTCAGAGAGAAGTCAAAAGGTCTCTAATCTGCACCTGGCTTCCCCGGAAATCTAACACAGAATACAACAGCAGCTTTCACCCAACATGAAGAATTTTCTGGCAATGCTGAACTAACTTTCTGGCACCCTAATCGGGGCCAAAATGAAGCCATTCGAACACTAATGCTTCTGTTCTATGCCACAATTTCTTGCCAGCCTCGGCAGAATTGATCCTACATAATGTATTCAGGGCTCAGAATGTTGTTTTCCTTTTCTGCATACCTGCACCGGAACAATCAAAATGACTCAGAGTCTCAGACAATCAGAAATACCTGCATATCATGCCTACAATTTTACCTGCATACGCATGTGGGTGTTGAGCCCTGGTATCCTTACATATGTTGTGCCAGACAAACAACTATCAGACAGGGACTTCCTGAATCCCCCCTAAAACACCCTGCCATGGTAACACATCCTCACCTAGTCCGAACACCTGGGGCACTGCGATGACGTAGCCCTTTGGATTAGTAACACACAGTTCACGCAACAACTGATGTGGAAAAAAAATGAAACACTAGTAGCATTGCGCAACAGAATACCTTGGTGATTCTCAGATGGCCGAACTGGTAAAAACAAGTTCTTAGAACTTCCAGGCCCAGCTTAATTATGACGTTCAAGGACTCTTAGCCATAATACTGGACATCCTTTTTACTTCTACTGAAAAGGATTTACTAAATCCATGGGAGGCAGCTTTGCTCAATGCAAATATTTAAAAAGTAAGCCCCCTCCCCGTATACACTATCCTGTTGTGATGTAACCCAAAAGCCGTTGTACGACTACAAATTCTCCTTACTTGAGGGGAAAAGTTACATCTCCAACTATATCACCAAAACTTTGTGTGCAATTATACAGCAAAGCTAACCTTAGTTCCTTTTATTATATCAGTAAAACGTATTTACTGGGAAGGGCGGGGGAATCCCTTTAGCTTTGGTGGTCTGTTGACTTATAACAAACACGGCAAATATGCTGTGTAGTCTATAACACAAGATAGAAGACTGAAGTACTGAAACAAACTACAATTTTCTATGGTATGCTTTACATGACCTAACTTCATCTTGACTCAAGAGTACGGGGCCTGTGCATCATCACACCTAACAATGGACACTGACTTTATCCAATCAAGTTACCCCTTATCAGTATATCACACCGCATAAGCCAATCAAATTACAAGCTTTATCTGCAACAGTACAGCCAGAACAGCTAAGTAATGGGATCCTAAGTGATCGATAACATCGCAAAGTTATAATGAACTTAGTCAATCAGATACCAGCTTTGCCAGCTCAACACTAGGGTTGCTTGTTCTTAGTGACAGCAAATACATGGTCATAAGTTAACATAACCACAAAAAAAAACAATGCTCATATACATAAAGCTAGTATTTTTTTAAATAAATAAATAATAATTTTGATGACACATTACGGCAAACAAAAAGGAAAAGAAAACTGCACTCTCCGATATTTTGTTGTAATTATCAGTTATCTTGTTTGTTTCTAGCGTACCATCCTCACTGGTCATACTAGTATCGCTGGTGTGTTACGGCGAAGGGCAGTTATACCAGCTATACAGATACAGATCCTAGGTAGTAGAGTGTGAAAGACCAGCTGGATTCGTTATAGATATTCAATACTTGCGATCGAACAATGTCCCCTGCCCTCTATACAACTGCACCCCTGCTAATATTCTACTATAAACCAATATATTCTTCAACGTTGCCATGCCATAAAATGGCTGGACAATTCCCAGCTACATTTTCCCTTACAACATGTAGTATCATTTAGCCAACCTAAGTTACATCAGCTGTTAGCTACTAGTGATGAAATAGTCCCTGGAGGGTACAAACATCTCCACCAAATTGGGATGACAAAAAATTCCTTTTCATGTTACCTACCCCTCTGTTCTAATCTATAACTTGAACTAGGATCTGATGGCAAATAATTTTTGTTTCTAGTACAATAACTTCTTTGGTCACAAAAATGGTGACTTGGTAGGGTCATAATCATCAGTTATCAGTCCTAAAATGACATCTTTCCCAGGGAAGAAACTCCCTTGAATGTACCCCTGCCATTTCTGCAACAAACCAACCAGACATGATAATGATGTCGTTCTTCCTAAGCTTTCTTTACTTACCTACTACCGTATTTCATGAACTAGCTATGGCATTATGGTATACTGTAAATTTATTTATTTTTGCTGGGAATGATTATGCAGTGCAGTGGAGACACATTTTCAAAGTAAAGGGGTCAGCATCAAGGACTATAGCTCCCACCATTAGTATTAATGGACAACCCCCAGGTGCTGTCTGTAAACCCTCCCTGAGTCTTCCAAGATGGGGAAGCTATAAATTTCCCATCAGTCTGTTACCACTTAGGCAAGTGATAAATAATTATAGCCACCAACAGTTGCCAAGGACCCCCCAAACACAAAACACATTCAAAATCTTTTGGGAAAATATCTTCAGGTCCATCATGACAAACCATTGACTATTTTGCCACACAAATTTCAACAAATATGGTCTTCTCTACCATATAATTTGTCTACTGCTAGCAAATAACTCACTTATGCATCTGTGACAAATACTAGTAACTGAATCTGTGAAAATACTTAGTAATCAGAAGCATTTTGTTTTAGAATAGAAATTAGATGTCATCTTTTTACGTATCTAGGAAGACTGGAAGTGGAAATAACATGTCAAATCACAGTAAGATAACTATATTTCTGTGTGTAAGCTGCACAAATTTAGAGCCCCCCTCCCCCAAAGGATAACCTTCCCTACCCCCCGGGGAGTCTGATTTTCTTAGCCCAATTGTTGCCATATGTCACAAGGTAGCAAACATACAGCAAACACTTTTGAAACCTCATGATCACAAAACAATAGGTTCCCCTTAGCAGCTGGGGTAGTTTCTTTTGATCCAAAAATCACACACTTACTTACTTCAACTGGGGGTGACAGCCTTAGGATTATACAAGTCCTTCATTTTTTTATCCCTTTGAATTCACCAAAATCAGCTCTAACACTACCAAACAACTTTTGTACAATTTTCAGCTCTTTTCAACAACGGAAAAATGTTCATCTACAAATATGACCACAGTTATCGGAGAAGTGAATAAGGAGGGTTTAAGATTTTTTACTCTTTGACCCTGTTTATTTGCATGAGTCACTCTAAGCCATACAACGTATCCTGTTTGGTTCAAGGAGGCATGTGCAGTGCAAATCGGTCTATTTTTCACCCCAAAGATGTAGAATAGTTGCTACACTATTGTCTAGCGATGTGTGGTGTGGAGTTATATCTTGATTTGGTTCAATATCCCGCCGTGTGTAATAAAGTCGCTGATCCCCCTCACAGTGAGGGAGGCGGCCGCCATCTTGGAACTTCCTCCCTCCCCCATACCTCGCCTCTTCCTGTCGCCACACTTCCCAAAAACTCACTCCAGACCCGCCAAAAATACAGAACTCACAGACAGAAACATGTCAGCAACAAAATCTGACCAAACATTTGCCCTCAAAGGCGTCACAACTTGAGAAAATTGCACAAATGTCGGAGTGGCGAATCTGTGTGTTGTGAGACAAACGTGCATATAACATGTTCGTAATTATTGTACAGACGATCTTTTCCTGTCAAAAATCATTTCGTGGCACATCTAAGCAGACTTCTGTGACAATCTTTATATATGCTGTACAGGGTGGTAATAAAAACTAGTTGTCTTTGGTACAATACTGAGCAGATGTGTATAAAGCTCTAGGCGATCTTTCGTCTGTGATTTTTTTGTTGACACTGAAAAAAAAGCATGGCGCAAGCGAACAACGAACGGCACTTCTGCCAGTGTTGTACAAAAAATTGAACGCTTGGTAAAACCATACAAACTTTAATCTAAACACTGACATTCATAGGCTTTCTAGAAATCTGATTTTATTGTCATCTAACAAAGTTATTGGCTAGAAATTATGTCGCAACTAGCATACAAAGAGGAACACACTGACCCGACCACTACAGTTCTGTCTACTCACCGATTCCTCTTGGCCATACACTGTGGTGGCAGCCGCCAAAAACAGCAGGAATATCGCCCGCCACTTCACCATCTTCCTGAGGTTTGGGCCCTCTCTGATGTTGCTGTCCTTTCAAGGGCCCAAAATACGAGAAAAAACGAGTTGAAAACGTGAAAATCCGTCCGTAAAAATGATTTTTCGCTCCGCCTGTGCCCCGCTTTCCTACAGGCCTCTTCCTCACCGAGACACTCCACCTAATTACGGAATATATCACTCCGCACCAAATCGGAGATTTTGGCCCGCAAACTATAAAAGTAACGATAAAAACCACAAAATCTGAGCTGAAATTCCCCCTCTAGTTTAAAGTACTGAACGCGAAACAGAAATTTCTTTCGTTTCTTAATGATATCACAAGTTCTAATTTACCAGACCTATTTTTATCGCGGACGACTAATGGTTGGTGAAAGGGACTTCCCAACCAGCCACAAAAGGTAGTGACGTCACACATTCCACGGAAAAAATCACGTGACATCCAACACCTTTGTTTTGTTGTTTTCGTAGGTTTCGCCACGAGTTTCCGACTATAAACTTTGAGGTCATAGCCTTAAATTAGAAATTAACTTTTCATACATTTCTAATTCTCATGTACTAAACGTGAGAGGCCTGAAGGGTCGTTTTTTTGCACGTTTTGTTTACTCAGTCATACTTTTCTGACACACCTAGGATCACCTAGTAAACAAGCTATGACGCATTACGTCTATACCGGAAGTCAACTCATGACATAGTTTTCCACGAAAATAGCCAATTTATGCAAATAAATTAGGGGGGAGTGGCTAGCCTTTGAAATCAGAAATGGATGTCCAACTTCACTATTTGCCTTCTATTTTCAGCTTCTGGTAATGATGTACACTTCACACCAAGGACCTTATAGTTTATTTCCCTTATATGCTCCTTGACCACACAATTTACTAGATAACTGCGTCAAGAAGCGAGAAGAAGTCGAACATGTAAATAGTAGATCACATTAGTATGTATAGTTTAAGTATCATGATCATTGCTGTATCCTTTTCCTTGTCTATTTCATGACCTGTACTTAGCTTGTTAGAGCACAAACGTACAATAAAGGTCTTTCTTTCTTTCATTCATTCAATTTAACAAAAGCTTTCGACTCTTGGTTTCGTTATTTATAGATTATACAAGTTGAATTGACTTCCCGACAATGACGTCAAAGTGACTAGTCACCACGTACCCGGGTGTGTGGTTTCCTACACGTTCCTGCATGATGCTTGCCACGTGTGGTTTCCGGAGATACTTAGAACGGATCCAAGGAGCTTCCATCGTATAGGATGTCCTTGGAAGATCTAAGAAGAGGCAAGGATAAGAGATAAACGACAAGGCGAGCGGTTTTGAGGAGGACTCAAAAGATAGTCACTCGTGTGTGCCGTGTGTGTCTTGTTAGAGATGACTGTGGCATGTAACCAATGATGGTGGCATTGTTACACAAATGAAATTTAGTAAAATTCAAACTCAAAATCATTCAACATTACAACCGAAATAAATAATGTGAAAGCGAATTAGTCTTAAATTTTCTTGAATTCTCACCGATTATTTTACAATGAATAAATCATCGATACATCAAAATCGACAAAATTGCTGTTGTCAGCGACTACTAGTATATGTTATCTTCCGATAACCTTTGTTTCAATGGCTAGTGTATATTTCTATTTGTAGTTTAAACCAAGAAGGGAGGGGGTATTTGGTTACCGCAGATTGACCTTAAAGTCAAGTTGGGAGGAATTGATGGCTAATAAGAAGTTATGGGCCATCAGTTTCTACCAGGCACCACGTCTTCCCAACTTGACTTTAAGGTCAATCTGCGGTAGCCACCCACTTTACCCAAACACCGTTGACAGGGATTTGTACCAAAAATTGAAATACATGTATGTTAATTTAAAAAAAAACACTTATGTACATATTCATGTAATAATTTAACATTTTTAACATTCATGGTTGGCGATAAAACAGTGCACACGAGGCGTACTTAGTTTGTGGCACCACCACAAAATACCAGAATGTAAACAAACATGGCTGACAGCTATATTTCCAGCTTTTTAACACACAGTATGGTACTAGTATATAATATTTTGGCACGTCCTGAATAACACTTATTTGCAATGGACTAGGGTTGATTCAACTTACTTTGTAAAAAAAAAAGAACCCAAAACTTCTTGTATTCTTACATGGTGCAGCTTTAATGTTTATTCAAACCACGGTCTACCTTCTCTTTGCCACTGAAAAGGCGGCAAATCTTCCCACTGTACATGTGTGGTTAATTTGTAGTCACCACCGCTTCCTCACAACAGCAACACAAACCCGAACCGAACCACCAACACTTGGCGCGTTGGTTTCCCTGTTGGCCTCTTCACTCACTCTCTGACACAGAAAAATGCTGCGCCACCCGGGCAAAAATGTTCCCCATTGTCCGACACCAAGGTAAGGCAGATCACGTTACATCACGCTGGGTGGCGCTTTTATAAACGCCCTGTGTGTGCTCATACCAGTAGTAGTTAGGCCACAGCAAGTATATTTTATGGATGACAGCAGCGCACGCATTAATTTTCGCCTGATTTTGGGGAAAAAAAAAACAAGAAATTTTGTTGCCTTATGACTGTGTTTACCATGCCGAAAATGGGTAAAGATGTCTGTTGCCATGCCGGAATCTGGATGGCATATTAAAAGAGAGAAAGGCTCTGATTTAATGTTTTGTTTCTTACTTTGATGCAGTGACATGTGATGCTGGCTGTGTATATGTGATGTTTCCACTGAATCAAAACCATTTGTACAATGATTGAGCCAAAATTTGAAAATGTAGGAACCTTGTTTTTTTCGGTCCGCCTTGTTTTTTTTCGCCCGCTCGCATTAGATTCTGCAGTCTGCAGAGGATGTCATCCATAAAATTTACTTGCTGTGGCCTAAGTAACATGTACAGAGGTAGGACAATGATAGCCTCTACCAGGCTTTGGGAGGCGGCTGAAAAGCGTAGAAATTGGCCAAATAAAAAGATACTAAACATGCCAGGGGAGTTGGTCCGCTACAGAGTACAATTCGGATGCGGCAAAATGTACTCTCTAGCAGACCAACTCCACTGGCATGTTATCTTTCTAGCCAATTTCTACTCTTTGCAGCCACCTCCCGAAGCCTGGTAGAGGCTAACAGAAGTAACAAATTAAAGGTAGGACAATGACACTTAGCTTCTAGACTGGACATTTTCAACTTCAGATGAGGCGAAGATTTTTTAAAAAGTGGACCTCTATCTATGTTAAAATATTAGAATATAAAAACATGGGGCCAGACAATTATATCTGTTTGTAAATTAGGAAACAACAAAATCATTTCATAACCATATATTCCTGGGGTAGAAATCGACTCAGGTGAAAATAAGTACCTGTAGACTTGGTTAATGACAATGACAATGACAATGAACTTTATTGCATATTCACGCCCTACACTGGCCAAATGCACTTGAGTTAAATAACTTGGGTACAAGAATAAGCAATTATTACATTTGTGTGCTACGTCTCTAACTACAGGATCTAACTACAGGATCTCTTCTCTCTTTTTGAAACATGTATGAACAAATTTACATAGTTTTTCATTTACATCATAGCGCTTGGATGTCATAATATGTTTGAACAATTCTATTTTCGGCAAGTATGCATATTTCAAAATTCTCTTTTCTAACTGTAAGGAGCTAATAAAGGATTTCCGGATGTCATTGTATACCGCACATTCTAAGACAAAGTGTGCTTCATCCTCTATACAGTTATAGTTACATAGAGTGCAAGTTTTAATTTTGGGACGTTCAATGACAGTCACAACCTTAGTGAAAGAACCTTTTACACTTTGAATATCGATAATAAGGGTTCATCGCTCAAGAAATATATACTTTGCATTTTATCGATTTGGGTGATATAATCGATTAACATCAACGTATTATTAATGACACTTTCACATACTTAATGCCATATGCAAGAATGAACATATAGTAGATAAAGTATGTAGGTATGTTACTATGTGTTTTACGATGAGGGAAGAAACAATGGTTATTAGTAGATGAACAATAGTACACAGTGTTGTCTTAACCCTCAACAGAACACCTTTCCGGACTGATTAATCTGTACACCTGGGGTCCGCGCGGACCCCAGAACAGTTTTTTGCTAATTTTTTAGAAATTATCAACATGCTACCAGCTCAATTGTTTTGCAAACTGATGTGGGAACCTCTGTGTCCACATTACATACAAAAATCATACATTTTGAACTTTTTCTATTTTTTGGTGAAGAAAAGAAGACAAGAAGAAATACCCGATTTTTAAACCCATTTCAGACTGAAGGGGCTTTTGAGGCCCAACTTTGATCTCAGATAGCGGCTAAACGGCTTGCGCTAGAAGTATCAAATTTGGAGACCTTTCCTAAAATGTCTCTGGAAAAAAGTTCATATTAGTTTAATACTAGTAAGTTGATGCTTTTTTGTGTTGCCATGGCAACGGGTTTCTAGCAGGCAGTTTTTTTGAAAATAGAAGTAATTTTGGTTTAAACATAAAATTTTCTGAGTTCAATATTAAATTACACTTCTTTTCCAACATTAATAACATCTTACATAATTAAATATAAGTTAAATCATTTAATATGCATAGAATATGCTAATTTGATGACGTCATTGGTCAAAATCCAATATGGCGGACTATATTATTAGCTCTGACGTCATATGACGTCATAATTACACCAAAGTTATTAAAATTTAATTCTATTACTACACCATTCTCTGAAAACTTGGTAGACATACGATGAGTGCATAAAAACATATAAAAACGGAAATAAGGTAATGTATAAGAACGCCAGTGTATCCATTATGATCGAAAGCCGGCTGGGGTCCGCGCGGACCCCAAAAGAAAATCAGATATAATTTTTTTATAAATGGTAGAAACGGAGTTTTCTGCACTTTATTGAGAGACAACTTTGTGGGTGACAATTACCTAAAATTTCAGAAAAAAATCTTTAGAAACAAAAAAGATATTACAGAATATATAGTGCTGGGGTCCGTGCGGACCCCAGGTGTACTGTTTAGGGTTAATAGAAAGAATTTTAATATCTTGCATTAGAATGTTGTATTGTTAGTGTTGAACTGTTTGTACTCATGTCTTACATGCTCTAGACCACATGTCAAATGTGCATTAAAGTTTGTCCATCTGGACAGGAACATGCAATAAAGATTCATATCATATCATATCATATCATAATAATGA